ATGTCGCTAAATGTTGGCATAAGAGCCATCAGGGCAGCAGATGCTCTCGGGTGTCTGCGCAGCAGCTGGTGCAGCAGCAGCAGCAGCAGCAGCAGCGGCAGAGTCTCCATCAGTTGGTGCAGCAGCAGCAGCAGCAGCAGCAGCAGGAGCAGCCGTAAGAATAGAAACGGTAGCAGATACTTTACCCCTGGCTGTCTTGTTCATGAGCTGCAGCAGCAATTGCTGCAGCAGCAAATGCTGCTGCAGCAAGAGTTGCAGCAGCAGCAGCAGCAGCAGCAACGGTTGCTGCTGCCTTTAAGGAGCAGCAGCCGTTTCTATTCCTCACAGTCAGGGGGGGGTCATCAAGACCGACAGCAGCAAGATCAGCAGCAGCAGCAGCAGCAGCAAGGTAACGAATCGCCGCAGCAGCAGCAGCAGCAAGAGGACGATCAGCAGCAGCAGCAGCAGCAGCCACAGCAGCAGCAGCAGCAGCAACAGCAGCAGCAGCAAGATGGAGAGGCATCTGATTCTTTAGCTAACATGCCCACAACTGCTGCAGCAAGACAAGCAGCAGCAGCAGCAACAGCAACAGCAACAGCAGCAAAATTAGCAGCAGCAGCAGCTGCTGCTGCTGCTGCTAGACCAGATCTAAATGCCTTACGTTATCCAAGTGTAGAAGCAGCAGCAGCAAGAGTAGCTCGTCGTCATGAGATAGAAGCAGCAGCAGCAGCAGCAGCAGAAGCAGCAGCAGCAGCAGCAGCAAAACCACCAAAGGCTTCTCTTCCTCCCTCCTTCCCTCGTCTTGTTACTTGGCGGGTGTCTCTTCTTTGTACCACTGCATGCGCGTACGTGCTGCTGCTGCTGCTGTTGCTGCTGCTCCTGCTGCTGTTGCTGTTGTTGTTGTTGTTATTGTTGTTGTTATTGTTATTGCTGCTGCTGCTGCTGTTGTTGTTGTTGCTGCTGCTGCTGCTGCAGCAACAGACTAACAGTGACCAGCAAGGTCTCTCCATGTCTATGCGGCAATTTCTGTATGGCTGTCTGCTGCTGGTGTTGCTGCTGCTGCTGCTGCTGCTGCTGCTGCTGTTGCTGCTGCTGCTGCAGGGCAATGACGGCTTTGTTGTTTTTTCATATGGAGAGAAAGAGGAGACAGAGGGCAGGTACGTGCCTGCTGCTGCTGCTGCTGCTGCTGCTGCTGCTGCTGCTGCTGTTGCTGCTGTTGCTGCTGCTGCTGTTGTTGTTGTTGTTGCTGCTGCAGAAATCGACTTTGCTGCCTTTTTGTGTCTCCTTTTTCTCCTTCCTGTTTGTCTCCTTTTTTTCTCCTTTTTTGCCTCCTTATAATTAATTAATTAATTAATTAATTAATTAATTAATTTATTAATTTATTTATTTATTTATTTATATTTATGTATGCAGCAATAACAGAGACAGTATCAATAGGTGTCCCTTTATTAGGTGGAGATTTTATATTAATAAATAAAAAAGGAGACATTTTTTATAATAAATATTTTATTAATAAATATTATCTTCTTATTTATTTTGGATTTACTTTCTGCCCAGACATTTGCCCAAAAGAATTAACTAAAATGGCACAAGTTATTGATATTATTGGTAAAAAAAAAAAAAAAAAAAAAAAAAAA